CCCCACCCCAAGGTGCCATGCTACTGAAGGATGAGGCCATCATCTGCGTTGCCCGCCAGCATCAACCAAGTGCCATATCACTGCAACCCCCCGCTAGACCTGCACGCACACGCCCAGTTGCCTGGAAGTTGCCGGAAAGGAGCAGCAGGGGGCATCCGGTGGACCGTTGGGCGCAGCCTCACCCCGCTGCCGTCACCACATCCTGCCCGTGTTTTCAGCACTTACACGTATGCAGGGTTCGCTTTGCGTTAACACCATGTGACTCTGTGCTGTTTTATATATATATATATATATATATATATATATATATATATATATAACTGGAAGTGGAGATTGTTACCTGCGAATGTTTCTGAGGGCAGGTACAGGCCATCTCAGATCTGTATGAAAGAACACTGGAACATATGAAGTGACTGTTTTAAGCGTCAACGGTTTCTGTCTACCCCGTATGAAGCTCCTTCCTCAACATTGAAGCCGGTAACGTGACCACACGGTCCGGAGGCGTGGCCCGGTCACATGTGGGCCCCAAATCCTGCCAACACGTCTCATCCCATCGTCTCATTTTGGCACCAGTCCGGACCATCATGGAAACCACATGGGCCAGATCCTGCAGCAGCCAGTTGCTTCACTGGGATTGTGCTAAGCCGGGTTTAGACCCCCGGCTGGGTTGATTAATTTGCAAAGTTAATTAGTCTGTTGAATTCGACTCTTGGGAACTGTGCCCTGGAATAATAGGCGTCTCCTCATGAAATCTGACTGGGTGCTTCTGGGTTTTTCCTCATCAGCGCAGTTTAACTTTGTCCTAGATCAAATCCCAAAGAAGCAAAGGGAGCATGAAGACAACATTCCTGTAATGGCATCAATCTGACGTGGAGAAATGCAGGGGAGGAAAGATCTGGATGGGGTCAGATTCAAGGAGCGCAAGGCTGCAATGCCAGGATCTGCGGAGCGTAATGGCTCTTGCCGTCCGACACCCTATCAGCCCTTGCTAGCGTCCCATAAAGGCGGCGGCATCCGTTTAACGTCCCGGTTTAACCGGGGTAACGTTCCGGTTTTCGGGAATCCTGGAGAAACGTAAAGCATGTGAAGTTGGTATCACAGAGAGCCACCCAGCAAACCTTCCTTTGTCCCAGCAATGTGTTTACATGGCCGAATCATGTTTGTAAGCTTTTCTCGTGATTCTTTATCAGATTTTTTTTTACAGATATGAGTTTTATATATAAACAAGATAGAGATGTATAGGTATATAATGCAGCGATTTTAATATATTGTAAAGGATAGCTTGGATGCAATGTATTTATACGTTTGTTACCACAATGAAGAATTACCCACAACAGGAAGTTTAAAGCATTTGTTGTATTTTTACTTATTACTTGGGTTTAAGAAACAACTTCTGGTAAAGTTAATTTAGTGTGCTGATTAACCAATGTCATGGCATGTTATTACATTGGATTGACTTACCTTGGCCGTGCACATGCCTCCATGGATCATTCCGATTTGATTGGCTCGTAGAGCAAATCGGGATGCTGATTGGATGGTGGGCTGGCACGGCCACAGTAAGCTGTATGTGATAAGCTGTGAGCCGGGTTCAATGCCGAAATCAGAATGTCACCCTTTTGCTGGTTTTCTTTTTTTAAGTAATTACAATCAAATTGCACCTGAATTTCATGGGAATATTGTGATTTAATGAGATTTTCATTCTTGTCATACAAGAATCATGTAAAAAGTGCCGCACTATTTCTGATTTCAAGCAGAAAATGGAGGCGGTTTTATTTTTTAGAGCAAGTGTGATTAAAAAAAATATATTATCTTGGAATAACTGTGATGCTCCCACAAAGAGGGATATAAAAATGTATACCTACATGTAAATGATAAAAAATAAACTTATTTAATCGCACCAAAGCGAGTCTCGAGTCTCTGCTTCTGACAACAGCAAGGCGGAGCTGCGGCAGGGACACTGTCCTGGGGCGACAACTGGAGAAGTCAGGCCAGATTTGTGGGGGGGCAGGTGGGAGGGGTTGATAGGTAGTGATAGGGGGCAGTTCGAAGGAAAACAAGCCTTATGTTTGAGCTGTGGTCTGGAGGTCCGTCGAGGAACCATCAAGGCAGCCCGGCTGTGAGGATCAGCCAGCCATGGGGAGGCCCCACCCCCCCGCTTCATCAGGAGGTGCACCTTCAAAGCAGTGTTTCTACCAAAGTAAATTTATCAGGAAAGCTGAGACTGGGGAGGGGGGCATATATAAGGATTCCTTTATGAAATACCTGAATGGCGAAGCAGGGCTGGGGGGTGCCGCATGGACGAAGCCCCCCCTGGGTCTGACAAAGGCTCAGTTTTATCAGGGCTTGGAAACATAGGCCGGCTGTGAAGGGTCCGGCGATGAAGCCCCACATTGTCTGCAGTCGCCGGTGCGAGAGGAGAGCCGGGGACGGTACTCAGGGTGGCGACGTGGCGGTCACGCCTCTGTGCCTGCCATCAGAAGGTCGCTGGTTCCAGCTCGTCCAGCTCAAAGGCCCTTAAGCCCCTGAAATGCTGCAGGGCCACTGTTTATATACCATTACGCCCAGTGAAACATCTTCACTGTACAGATAACGCTACAGTTACACATTAGCCTGCTCCTGTGTCACGGAAATGCTCAGGACACCAGAACCTATCGGCGGGGAGATCTGCAGCGTCTTTCTGAAAGTCAGGTGTCGATTGTGTGTGGGGGTGCCTTTTAGCCCCTCCCTGCTTCAGCTTGACAAGCGTGCCCCCACCCAGCAAACGCAGAGTGAATATGCCTTATTGATGTGCTAACGTACAGAACCCCCTGGGATGCTGCAGTCAAGCTGGAAATTCACTGTTTTTCTTAATTAAAATAGAAAAACGGGGGTGTTTTTTTCCATATAAGTCTTTTAACAAAACAAGCACATTCATTGGCTGACACAGTAGACTACACAGCACTCAGTAACACAGACCACACACACATGGTCCTCTGTGGTGGTTCTGTTCAATGCAGCCATTCAACAGCTCTCTCTCTCTCTCACACACACACACACACACAAACACGAGCACACATACAGGTTTGTAAATATCTTTGTGGGGACTCTCCATTAATTTCTATGGGCATAGCGCTAATTCTAACTGTGACAACCCTAACCCCCATCCAGCCCTAACTATAAGTCACCAAACAAAATATTGTAATTTAAGTGCAATTTAAAGGTGCGAACTTCCTCTTTCATTCAAAAGGTTACATTTAGAGTAATTATATGACAGTTTATATAGTTGCTGTTTTTACATGACACTATTCCACAGGTTCAGGTTCATTATCCACCTCACACTGACTGGTGACTTGCTACTAAAGTGTCCTCAGGAGTCAGCGAGCAGACGACCATGTAGAGAGCCAGCTGGTGACGGTGTGATAGAAGCGTTTATCCTGCCTGTCTAGAGGAGGCAGATCGATTAAAGGAATCAGCAGAACCCCAGAAAGAACGCAGAGAAAGGAAGGCGACGTAAAGATAAGGGGGCAGTGTTTACTTTAGAGAGTGAATTCTCGCTGTCTAAGATTCGGACAGCTAGACATAAAATGGAAATTTAAAGGGGCAGGTTATCTGGTGCGTCTCCTTTTCAGAAATTTCAGCTAAAGAGTCTTTAAAAATGCTGGAAATGTCTGTGGGTTAGGGTCATGGAGCCGGTGGTACCAGCTGAGGCCTGGGAGGGAGGGGAGGGGTGCAGATTAGGCGGGGAGCCGGAGAAGCTCTCCGAGGGTGGATTCAGTCAGAACCGGACAGCTTTCCAGTCACGTGCTGAGAATCTACGCAGAGACGCGCTGCAGCTCAGGGCTGTGATCAGCGTAGATCTGGGGGCTAAAGACAGACTGTCGAAGGTCACAGAAAATAGCTGGAGGGGTAAAACTGAGCACCTGTGACTGCAGAGGCCTCAAAAAGCCGAAGGATCGAGAGCCCGGCAGCTTTTATCTCTCTCTCTCTCTGTCTCTGCAAACATTCCTCTGTAATTTACACACAGCGGCAAGAGAGAGAATCGGCGAAGGTGATTAAAGTGACAGGCCTGTGTAAGCAGTCATGAGTGAACTGGTCCTTCACATAAAATCCAAGGAGCTCGTGTCCTTGAGACTTTTTCAAACAAAGGAGATCCTTACATTTTGTTTTGGGGGGGGGGGGGGCTCTGCGGCAGAGACAGACCATCTGCATGCTTTAAATGGCGGCCACGCTGCTACCACCTTGACGCTAAACGCGACTGCCTCTCCCCGCGCAGATACCCGCAC